CAGACAGGGTCGTCCCAATATGCGTTTTTGCAATTTGCATATAGGCAAAAACGCATAAAAATGTGCCAGTGCATTAGCTAAGATCGTAGTGAACAAGGTATTATTAAATCCTGTGAGTGGCACCAGCTATCCGTGAATAGTGGTACCAGCTCCTTAATCAATGAACCCATCCGAATTGTGCACCACTTGAGCCTCTTCTCGCCACATTGGAACAGTATCAACAAACTGGAAAAAAGCAACTTGCTTTTCGTGGTAGTTTTGATGAATGTTTGCGTGGCAAAATATGATTTAAAGCACGGTGTTTTCTCATAGCCAAATGTGCAGACTGTCATCAGATGCCGATACAGTGGTTCGCCGCATAACCTCCGTTTTGCAAGGCACCCAGTCATTATTACGGTGTGCATTGATATTATCAGAAGCACTGCATGTGTGATCATCATTTGCAACCTAAAACTGGCAAACTGTGTGCTGGATTCAGTGATGTGCAAGAATATAGGCTCAAATCCACGCATGATTTTGATATGTCATGGAAGACAACACTATTGGTGTCAGTGCTCGTATTGGTGCAAAGGAAGCAGAAAAGAAGAGGCAGAGGAAAAGCAGTCTTTTTTTATCAAAAAACATTTAGCAAATTTTAATTTGAATAAGCAAAATTTAAGCTTGCAAAAAGTGCAAAATTTACCCAAAAAAATCATCCCAAATTTAGGCTTGCAAGGGAGGAGGGAGGTTGGCTCAAAATTTAGTGAAAAAGCATGAATTTCAGCCTGAGAGGGGAAAGGGGAAATTTCACTCGAGAAAAACAATGATTTTGCAAAATGGGAGCAGTAACTACACACAGAAAGCCAAACGCCCCAATCCAAAAATGTTAAGTTTGTTTAGACGGTGATAAAAGTCGGATGAAACCAGCAACTTTCACATAGTTAGATATGCTACTCTACTTCAGATATAAATTCTATGAGTCACTGGATCTACCGTTACTCGACATGAATGCAGCGGTGCCTAATAAAATGTTCTCTATGTATCATGGAATGAAATATGTCCAAAATGTGGAAGTTTATAATTTTTGCAAAACTGCCGATGTTGCAGCGTACAGCCGCGTGCAAAACTCAGCTCTGATAAGCGTTTCTGCTCTGTAACCATCCATTTTCCTACCGACTTTTCCCTCATGCTCGTAAATTACCTTTTTGAAGGTCAGCCAAATGGTTCTTCTTCTTGTGGCCGAATTTCACTCAATGATGTATGGCTTCTAGTGACCGCCAAAACGAAGCTGGTTAGCCCTAATCATTGCTGTAGGCATCAAAGGTGGATAGAAGAGCGAAGAGTGCTTTTGCACCAAGATTTCCCAGTTTCCTCCTTATAGTCTTTAAAGAATGGGTGGATTTTAAATATTCCTTGGCTTTTAGTGACCTTCAAAGCGGTCAGTTTTCACTATACCACGTTGTCGGCTTCTCGAAAGGATTTGCTGAAAATCAAAGCTAAAGGCCTAGAATAGCGTATTACTGACCGGCAGTACTGCTCGCTGGCAAGGTAGGTAATTGAAATGGGCCAAGTGAAATGTGTTGTTCCACTCGGAGGCATTGGAAATAAACTTTGCTTGTACTTAGTGTGGCTTGACTGGCACGCCCCAGATACAATATTTTTTAATTCCTGAAAATAAAATTATTTCCTAGGTATTTTGCCCCTACTCCCTTTGGCTTTCTTTGCAGAATTATAATAAGTGCATTATTATGGGAGCAGCTTTCATGTACAGTTAAAGCATTGGGCACAAGTGCACTTCGCCCGTCCTCCATTGTGCCTTTTTCAATTACTGATAAGCAGCCTATTTTCCACCCTATTCATTTCTGTATCCTTCAGATACTCAAAAACAAACTTCGCGCGAATATGAGCAGTTTTGAGGGACGACCAAAACTCCAAAACTTTATACGCATCGAACGGAGCGCTCCTGGTACTTTTAAACATGCCACAACCAGTTCTTGACAAAACGAATCACTGAAAATCCACTTCTACAAAGTCGAATTTGGAATAATACTCGCTTCACTTTTGGACTATGCCTTTTGAGTTTCATACTAGCATCCATTTTATCCAAAGACCGGTTATTTACAAGCTGTTGGGATTTTGAGACAAGGCAACAAAGACTTCTCTTTTTTTCCACACAATTTCTTTTACTGAAAGTTGAAATCACAGAAATACAAAAGTTTGTTTAAGTATACAATCTTAACTGCATGGAGGATTTTGTGATGATTTTTAGTGGTATTATAAATTTATACTAAAGATGTAATTTTGAATAGAGTTTATTTCAGTCCAGAAAAGTTCATTACCTTGGGATTAAAACTGTGACTCCGTTTCTTCCGAGGTAGCTGTAAATCCGACAAGTAATTTTTCAGTTGGTTTGTTTCAAATTCAGCTCATTCTACACTTTTTTCCGTTTCTTGAGTGCCATCGTAGTTTTTTTCCGAGCAAATTCACAGATACAACTTGTGCCCATTTGAATCATTCCGCTCCATTTTTTGCACTTGCCGCAAAAAGCGGGTGGAGGAACTGGGCATTTGAGCGATATGGCAAAACTTCACGAAGGCGACCTAAGAAATTAATCTGCAAGTGCCATCATTCCATACACGAGAATCAAATATGCTTGGGAGTTGAATTTGAAACTTCAAGTTGTGCGTGGAGAGGGAACATCCTCTTAGAGTCTCGGCTTTCCAGCCTTTCAGCTACTCAATTAGTAATTTTTCCTCCAAACTTTCTTTTCCCCCTTCCTCCCGCTCCCACCCCGTACGTGAGATTCGGATATGTGTGAAAGTTGAACCACTTTCCTGGGATTTTATGCGTTTCGCATTTCCAATAAAATGCTAAAAACCATAAAAAATTCAGTCTCTTCGATTGGATGGCCCTTCAGCGGGAGTATTGTTTACTGTCTACAACCCACCTCTTTGCAGGAAGAGGTGTTTGGCGGGAAAAGAAATGTGAAGCACCTGCGGGAAAAGGATGTGGGTGTCGGGTGTGGGGAACGGGAAGAATGGAGGAACTAGTGGCTTATCTAGTGGCTTAAATTTATCCGATATTTATCACATATTCCTTAGCGAGAAAAGAGATATGGCGCGTAAGGACATGACGAGGATTGGTTCTGATGAGCGGAAAGAGACATCTGATGGGCGGGAATGGCTGGTAAACAACCCAAGATTCTGCTGGTAGAGGGTCGTCTTAATACAACATGCCTGTGGCGTTTTGGGCATTAAAGGGGTAATGAGCCCGGGATGGATGCAGTGCAATGTGTCAACTGATACAAAAGATGGTTGCGACCTATCACGATGCTCAGTTCGATGCACACCAAGTGTTAGAGTTTGGATCGTTTTGATAAAAACTATAAGGTAGCACCCATTTCCACTTGAAGACAAAGTGAGGTTATTACGTTGGCTTTAGGCTTCTCAAAAAATTTTTTCCCACTGATCCTGCATTAGCCAGTAAAAAATTCAAATAACTCATTAAACTAACCTGAACCTGAGGCCATAGGTCGGAATTTAATCAACTTTGAAAGCTTATTTTTGATCATATACTTATTTGGTGGATCAGAAACTCAAAATATCAGGTATTTCGTTCTTTTACCCTCGATTTGCGCCATTTGCTTCAATTTAGTAACGCACTGCTGAGTCAGGACTAGGAGAGAGTTCCCCTACTGGTCACGATACATGCAAATTCAACTTTCTGAATTAATGGAGCAAAATTGTCCGAACTCGCATTCACAGAGGCACAATCCAGTCAAAATAATGCGCTTTCAGTGCAAAAAATACAACAACAAAGGGTAAAAAGACAAAGAATTTTACATACAAAGATAGCGATCTTGCTAAAAGTAATACAAAAACTAATGGAATAAATAGAATTATCAAAAGTAATAAATAAGAAAAAGAGTGATGAGTTCGACAAATTAACTAATTATTTCGAAATGAAATGTCATTATTGAAAAAATTTAAGGTTAGTAATAATTTCAAATGATTCTAGCGATCACACGTGCTGGAAGTAAGGATTTCTTGTGGCCCAACGATCAATACGGCCTTAGCTGACGTCTTCTTTCCTCTGCATGCAAGAAATGGCCAAAATGCTTTAAACTGTAATGCAGCTAATGTGAGTTCACATAAAACTGCAGTGTAGTAAGCACTCATGCTGTTAACGATCAGCTTGCCTCATGTTTAGGTAAAAATGCCAGATGGTCCAACTAAGACGCTTGATGCTCCGCAGCATTGGTCGTCACTTCCAGTTGCAAACGCGTAGCTTGAAATCGAAGAGCTCGACACATATCCCATAATACTAATATCCACTCACTTGGATCTAACGTATACCATCTTTTCCATTATCACTTTGCAAGCTCCCATCCTAAACTGCGTCTCCTGGTTCTTTCGAGTTCCACTCTCCGGTGACTTGATAATTTTGTCTGACCTCGGTATTCACATGCTCACTCGCCCAAATATTTTTTTAAGTGTGTTTTTCTGCATTAAAAACGCATTATTTTGACTGGGTTATGCCTCTGTAAATGCGATTTTGTACGATTTTGCTTCATTAATTTAGAAAGTTGAAATCCCATGCATCCTGAGCAGTACGGAAGCACTCTTTTCGTTTTGACTCAGCAATGTATTATTAAGTTTAGGCGA